TTCAGACAGCGGGAAAAACTCATATGGCTTTTATTATTGGAGTTTCCCTATATTCCTAATTTTTTTCAGTGTTCTTATCATGAAAGAATGTTGAATTTTATCAAATGCTTTTTCTGCATCAATTGACATGACCATGTGTTTTTTTCTTTCATTCTGATAATGTGGTGTATTAATCTGATTGATTTTTATATGTTGTACTATCCTTGCAAGTCCAAGAATAAATCTCACTTAGTTATGATGTATAGTCCTCTCAATGTGCTGCTGACTTTGGTTTGCTAGTATTTTGTTGAGGATTTCTGTATCAATGTTCTTAAGGGATACTCATCTGTAGTTTTCTTTTCTTGTAGTGTTTATGCCTGGCTTTGGTATCAAAGCAGTGACTAACTCAACCTCATAGAATGAGTAATCAAGTGTTCCTTCCTCTTCAACTTTTTGGGAAAGATTGAGAATATCTGGTATTCTTTTTTAAATGTTTGACAGAACTGACAAATGAAGCCATTGGGTGCAGGGCTTTTGTCAGAGACTTTTGATTACTGATTTAATCTCCTTACTAGTTACAGTTCTATTCAGATTTTCTATTCATCATTTAGTCTTAGCAGGTTTTATGTTTTTAGGAATTCATCCATTTCATTTGCTTTTGTGTACAATTATTCCATTGTATTCATAGTATTCTCTTATAATTGTTTTTATTTCTATAGAATTGTGTTAATGTCTGACTTTCATTTTTTATTTTAGTAATGTGAATATTCCTTTTTTCTTAGTTTATGTAGCTAAAGGTTGTTCATCTTGTTGGGTCTCTTTTAAGAACTAGCTTTTAGGGGCGCCTGGGTGGCTCAGTGGGTTAAGCCGCTGCCTTTGGCTGGGGTCATGATCTCAGGGTCCTGGGATCGAGTCCCGCATCGGGCTCTCTGCTTGGCAGGGAGCCTGGTTCTCTCTCTCTCTCTCTCTCTGCCTGTGATCTGTCGAATAAATAAATAAAATCTTTAAAAAAAAAAAAAGAACTAGCTTTTAGTTTCATTTTCTCACTGTTTTTCAACTCTCTATTCCATTTATCTCTGCTCTAATTTTTATCATTTCCTTCCTTCTGCTAGCTTTGAGTTTTAGTTTATTTTTCTTTCTTTAAAGTTATAAAGTTCAGTTATTGATTTGAGATCTTTCTTATTTTTTAATGTAAGCCTTTAGACCTACAAAATTCCCTCTTAACACCACTTTCACTGAATCCCATAAATTTTGATATGTTGTGTTTCATTCTCCTTTGCCTGTAAGTTTTTTTCTAATTTATCTTGTGATTTCTTCTTTGAGTCACACATTCAACTTAGAGTTTTGTGAATTTTTCAGTTTTCTTCTGTTACTGATGTCTAATTTTATTCGATTGTGGTCAGAGAAGATACTTTGTGCAATATCATTTTTTTTTTTAAAGTAGGTTCCACATCCAGCATGGAACCCAGTGCAGGGCTGTAACTCATGAACCTGAATCAAAAACTGAGCTGAGATCAATAGCTGAAGGCTTAAGTAACTGAGCCACCTAGGTGCCTCTACAATATCTATCTTTTAAAACCTGTTGAGAATTAATTTGTGGCCTAAGATATTGTCTATCCTGGAAAATGTCGCATGTATTCATGAAAATAATGTGTACACTATTGTTATTGGGTAGAATACTGTGTATATGTCTGTTTAGTTGGTATATTGTGTTAAGTATTCTATTTTTTATCTTGTTCTATACATTACTGTGAATTGGATACTTAAGTCTCCAGCTGTTATTGGAAAACTAGGTCTCTCTTCAATTCTGTCAGCTTTTGCTTTATGTATTTTCATGGCCTGTCATTAAGTGTGCAAATGTTTGTTTGTAACTATTATATCTTATTATTATATTGAAACTTATATTCCTATATAATGTCCTTTCTCTCTTTTAACCTCTTTTGATCTAAAGTCTATTTTGTCTGATACTAGTATAGCTATGGCCCTGCTCTCTTTTGGTTAATATTTGTATAGGACATCTTTTCCCATTCTTTTACTTTCAATCTATTTGTGTCTTTGGCTCTAAGGTGAATATCTTATAAACAGCATACAGTTGGACCATGTGTTTTTATTTACTCTGCTAACCTGTCCTTTAATTGGAAAGTTTAACTCATTTACTTTAAAAGTAATTACTGATAAGGAAGGACTTACTTCTGTCATTTTGCTATTTGTTTTCTATTTGCATACTTGTAGCTTTTTTGTTCCTTATATCCTGCATTACCGTTGTCTTTTTTTTGTATTTAGCTGATTTTTTTTTCAGTAAACATTTAAATTCCTTTTTCATGTTTTTGTGTATATTCTATAGCTGTTTTCTTTGTGATTGCCATGGGGATTACATTTAACATCCTAAAGTCATAACACTCTAATATGAACTTATACCAACTTAACTTCAATAACATACAAAAACTCTTTTTTGCACTCCATCCCTACCCTTTTAAGTTGTTGTCACAAAATTACATTTTTATATACTGTGTCTCCCAAAATATTAATAGTTTTTTTAATGCATAAATTTCTTATATAGAAAAGAAGATTTGGAGTTACTAAATCTGCAATAATACTAGCTTTTACACTAATAACAACATTTTTCTTTAAATGTATTCGTACCCTTAATCATGTAGAAAACAAAATGGCAGATACAAACTATTGTAACAGTAATACTAGCTTTTACAACTGCCCATGTATTTACCTTTATTGAAATCCTTTTTTTCCCACATGACCTTGAGTTACTGTTTTGTGCTCTTTCATTTCACAATGCAGGACTCCCTTGATCTTTTCATGCAGAGCAGGTCTAGGAGAAATGAACTCTCTCAGCTTTCGTTTATCTGAAAATGTCTTAATTTCCCTCTTATTTTTGAAGGGCAGTTTTGAGGAATATAGGGTTTCTGGTTGACAGAAATTTCCAGTTTCTAATGAGAAATTTGCTATAATTTATTGAAGAACACTTGGATATGATGATTTGCTTCTCTCCTGCTGCTTTCAAGATTCTTTGTGTTTGTCTTTTGAAACTTTGATTATAATGTGTCTTGGTGTGTGTCTCTTTGAGTTCATCCTACCTGGAGTTTGCTGAGATTCTGGACATTTAAATTCATGATTTTCATCAAATTTGGTAAGTTTTCAGCCATTATTTGTTCACATACTCTTTCTGCCCCTTTCTCTTTCTCTTCTTCTTCTGGGATTCCCACAATGTGTATGTTGCTCCATTTAAGAGAGTCCCACAAGTCCCCTAGATTGTGTTCACTTTTCTTCAATCTTTCTTCTTTCTGTTCCTTGAACTTGATAATTTCTGCCTTTGAATCCCCATAGTGAATTTTTCACTTCAGTTATTGGAATTTTTCAGCTCCATATTTTTGTAAGTTTTTTTAAAGTTTTCTCTCCTTATTGATATCCCCATTTTGTTCATACATCTTTTCCATTAGTTCCTCTATATTTTTGTTAGTACCTTAGATATCTTTAAGACAGTTGTTTTGAGGTTATGGTCTCAACTATCTGCCATTCGATCTTTACAGGGATAGTTTCTTTTGATTTATTTTTTCCTTTGAGTATTTTTCCTATTTCTCTGTATACCTTGTGACTTCTTGTTGAAAAGTGCGCATTTGAATCTAATAATGTGGTAATTACAGAGCTCAGATTCTCTCCCTTCCCCAGGGTTTGCTGTTTTGTTTTGTTTTGTTTTTAAGATTTTATTTTTTTATTTGACAGAGAGAGATCACAAGTAGGCAGAGAGGCAGTCAGGCAGAGAGGGAGAAGCAGGCTCCCTGCTGAGCAGAGAGCCCAATGAGATGCAGGGCTTGATCCCAGGACCCTGAGATCATGACCTGAGCTGAAGGCAGAGGCTTAACCCACTGAGCCACCCAGGCACCCCTGTTTTTGTTTTTGTTACTGCTTTTATCATATAAAAGATAAGTATATAGTATGTTCTGTGGGGAGGACTAGCCTGAAGTGTAAATTTAAGGTCTTCTCACATCTTTTGTGAGTCTTTCCCATACAGTCACTTTTTAGTTTTCCCCATATATGCGTGCAGATGTTTCTGAATATCCTAGGCTCCCAAAAGGGGAAAAAGAGAAAAATGAAAGGGAGGGTTAAAAAAAAAAAAAAAGTTCTAGCCCTTTAAATCCTCTGGAAGTCACATTAGCAGAAAGGAGAGGGTCTTAAAACAATGGGAAAAAGTTGAACAGTAGAGGCACCTGGGTGGCTCTGTGGGTTGGGCCTCTGCCTTCAGCTCAGGCCATGATCTCAGGGTCCTGGGATCGAGCCCCGCATCGGGTTCTCTGCTCGGCGGAGAGTCTGTTTCCCCCTCTCTCTCTGCCTGCCTCTCTGCCTACTTGTGATATCTCTCTCTCTGTGTGTCAAATAAATAAATAAAATCTCTTAAAAAAAAAAAGTTCAACAGTAATAGCTGCCCATCTCTTTGCACCTCTGCGATCAGAAGTAGCAATCAACAATCTGCTATTTCCTATGACTAAGACTTGAGAGATAAATAGGTCTTTGCTATAGGGTAGGAGGATGGAAGAAAGGCATCCCAGATAGAGAGCAGAAACAGTGGCTCTGATATTATAACAGAGTCTGGCCTGTTTAGGGAATTGCAAGAACTCAGTATGGATGGTACATTTGCCTCTAAGGGTTAAGTGTTAAAAGTGAAGGATAAAGAAGTAGGGAAGATCCAATTTCTGAAACATCCCATCAGAAAGATTTTAAGCCAATTAACAATATTACTTTTCTGTCTTAATACCTTTACATAAAATTTCTACATTATGCAAATATTAGTATGTAAGAGAACTATACTGTAAGGTGGATTCTAATTTTTTAGTAACCAAAATGCCCCATTTATTTTTAATCCTTCTAAGACCATCAGAGCCACTCTAAGGCATTCAGTTTTCATATTTATAAGTATTAAATTTACTTTCAAACTGTAAGATACAACAGCACATTGTCTGAAACACTCACATTCATGAATTTATAGTAATCATTCCATTGTCTCATACCTGCACGTTGTAGCAAACACAGTTCGTTGATACTTATATATTTCTTAAACACATCCATACAAACCTACAAGTAATAAAAAACAAAACATTACCTTTTTATATTTCATTTAAAAAGATGCAAATTTCCATCCTATCTTTGTTTATTCTATATTTTTTAAGTGAACTTAAAGCAATGGTATAAAAAGTTGAAATTAGGTTAACTCACAGATTTGAAATGCATATTGAATTCACAACAGAAACCTTATTTTAGAGATGCTCTGACAAAGAAATAATCAAGGAAATAAACAAGATTAGCAAGCAACTGGAGAAGGGAGGAAATCCTTGAATGTTCAAAATTTTAAAAACCTTATTTAGATCATTTTAAAAAATAACCATTTACTGGTCCAAGGATAAATACACTTACCAATGGATTAGACAGAGAGCCTACAAATAGACCCAATCATATATAATCAGCTGATTTATATGACATGGTGACCCTGCAGTACAGTGGGGGAAAGAGTGGTCTTTTTTTAGTAAATGTTATTGGGTCACTTAGGGATCCACATGGGAAAAAAATATTTATCTTTACCTTTTTCTTCACATTATAAACAAAAATCAATACCCAGTGGCTTAGTGTTCTAAATGCAAAGATAAAACAATAGATTTTTTAAAGAAAAAACATAAGATCTTGGCAAAGATTTCTTCAACAGGATACAAAAAGTTAATATTAAAAAACTGACAAAATTGATTAAATTTTAATAAAAATTAAGAAATTAACTACATAAAAATTACATAAAAATTAAGAAATTAAAAGGGGAACTTATACACTAGTAAAAGTTACCTGCTATACACATACCCAACAAAGAACTTAGAATATATAAAGAATTCTTAAGATAAATAAGAAAAAGACAATCCCATAGTATATAGGTAAAAATATTTAGGTATTTCCCAAAAGAGGGTATCCAAATATCCAACAATGATTTTGAAAGCTGCTTAGCTTCATCAGTCATCATCAAGGAAGGCATCACTCCCCACCCACCAGAATGGCTAAAATTAAAAGGCTGGTAAATACCAAGAACTGGTAAGGCTATGAAGCAACCAGAACTCTCAGGCATTGCTGATGAGAGTATAATTTGGCAGACCACTTCGGAAATCTGTTTGGCAGTGCAGACTAAATTTGAACATATGCAGATCCTATGACCCAGCAATTCCAGCTTTAAGTATAACCCATCAGAAAATGTACATATATTCACCAAAAGACATGCAGAAGAACATTGATAGCATCGCTACTGCAATTACCATATTTAGAAACCACCCAAATGAATCAAAAGTAATATTTATCAATAAAATTTGATGTACTCACACAATGGAATATTTAATATTACACAGCAATGAGAAAGAAATGTTTAAAATTAAGTAAAAAACACAGATCCAGAAACTAAAGAATACAGACTGTATGACTTCATTTATATAAAGCAAAAAATCAGGCAAAGCTCATTTATGCTACTAGGAGTCAAAGAAAATCTGAATTAAAACATATGACTGAGAAAGGAGGGGCATGATGGCAGAGAAGTAGGAGACCCTGTTTCAACCAGTCCCCTAAAGTGAGCTAAATATCTACCAGAACACTCTGAACACCCATGAAATCAGCCCGAGACGTAGGATTATACACTGCTGGATCTCTATGGGGGCAGAAGACACCAATGGACAGGTAAAGCAGAGTGGGAACTCTTGGATGGATAGCGGAGGATAAGCAGAAGAGGCAGGGAGCCACCAGAAGCAACACATTGGAAAGTGATACCCCAATATGAAAGTGCCCTGTGGTTGGGGACCAGCATCAACTTGGAGTCTGGTTAAAAGCACTTAAAAAGAGCAAAAGATCTTAAGGGGTAACTGATGGAATCCGGCAGTCATGGGCACAGGCCTAAACCCTTGGACCGAGGACTGCCACCGCTGGCAACCACCCTTGCAGGAGAGAGTGCCGCAGAGCCTCCAGTTCCTGGTCCCTGCACCACCCAGCTGTGTGCTGCTTGCACCACCTCTCGGCAGGGTGCATTCCCACCCTCGATGAGGCAGTCTGGTGGGCACTCTCTAGAACCACAGCCTTTTACGCTCTGTGTGACTGCATGACCAGGGTCTGACCACACAGTCCCCACTTGTGCCTGAGAGACCTTGATGTGGACGCTAGCCAGTGGTCTCTAGAACCAGCCAAGGGTCTGGACACTCCCAGCTTGCACCTGAAGGAACTCAGCATGATCTCTGGCAGCATGGGCCCGGTCGCCTGACAGCAGTCCTGGCAAAGGCAGCCACCAAAAGCAGGCTCCCTGGACCAAATTCGCTCCCGGATTTAGTGGCACAGGGGTGCAGAGACAAACAGGCACTTCAAGTGACCCCTGAGACAGTGGCTGGGGACAAGCACTGCTTGTGGGACCTTGCGCTTCAGCTTGCAGAATTTGCAGAGGGGGAGTCTGTGTGTTCTGGACCACCCAGAGGGGAGCAGACGCAGGCTTCCCTCTGACGCAGAGGTCTGAGTGGAGTTTCCTTAACACTAAACCTACAAAAAGCCACAAAGAGCAGCCAAAAACAAACAAACAAACAAACAAAACCTCCAGAGAACAAAAGCCTGAAAAACTGGTTTCCAGAGCCCAGGCCCTTTATAGGCAGCAGGACAATTCAACCCAAGCAAGACTGACTGAAAGAAAACAACACAGGAGGCCCCTACCCCAAAAGGCAAGCCAAAAGAACAAGAGGACAACCACCACAGGGTCCCCATAAAACTGTAAAACCCCAACATCAGGAGAAAACAATATATTAAGCTCCTGGTATTGCCCTAAAACCTGTATATTTCATAGATACAGGTTTTTTTGTTTGTTTTTAATTCATTCTCACGATTCTTGTTCTTTTAATCTCTTTACCCTACCTACCATTACAACTAGAGGTTCAACAAAACATACTCCATACTTACTTTTAACTTTAACTTTTTCATACATATACCTGCGTTTTTTCTTTTTTTTTTTTAAATACATATAGATATAAGCTTCAAGGTAATCCTTTTTCCCTATTCAATACTACCCCATATATAAACCAGTTTTAATCTCCCTTTATCTCTGGAAAGTTGAGTCCTTTAACAAAGATAACAAGATAAACCCAGGAAGAACCAAAATAACCTTCCTCTCCCACTGCGAGGATTTATAACCACCCGTCCGTCTTTTTCTTCTGTCAGTTTCTCTGTGTATTTGTTTTTGTTCTGGCATTATATAAACCTTATTATTGGGGTTCATTTTGACTGGGTTCTTTTTTTTTCCTTCTTTCTTGTCATTTACTTTTGTCATACTTTTTGTCTGTTTTTGTTTATATACCTTATAAATCTTACTTTTTGGCCTCATTCTGGCTGCGTTTTCTCTTTTTTTCTTTTCTTTCTCTCTCTCACTTTCTCTCTTCCCTTTTTTCTTTTTTCATTCTATTTGGGGGTGACTCCAATTGCTCCGAAGCATTCCAGGGTGCACCATGCCTGGATCGTGGTTGATATATTCAGCTATAAAACCCCTTAACCACCTCTCACCAAAATGACTAGGAGGAGGAACATCCAACAGAGGAAAAATTCAGAGACTATGTCCTCTCCATCAGAACTATTGGATATAGAAATAAACAGTGTATCAGAAAGGGAATTCAGGGTAACAATTATCCAGGCAATAGCTAGGTTGGAGAAAACCATTAGTGACAACACAGAATCTCTAAAGGCAGTGAGAGCCATCAGGGCAGAAGTTAAAATGCTATCAAGGAGATCCAATTTAAACTAAATACTCTAACAGCTAGGGTAACAGAGGCAAAAGAAAGAATTAGTGATCTAGAGGACAAAATGATAGAGAAAAATGATCAGGAGGAGGCATGGAACAAACAGCTTAGAAGACATGAAAACAGAATTAGGGAAATAAATGATGCCATGAAACATCCCAACATCAGAATCACTGGAATCACTGAGGGGGTGGAAAAAGACAGAATAGAAGATATAGTTGAACAAATTCTGGATGAAAATTTTCCCAGTCTGAGGAACAGAACAAGGGTTCCTGTCCTAGAGACAGAAAGGACACATGCCAATATCAACGAATCTAGAAAGACCTAAAAGGCACATAATTGTGAAACTGACAAATCATAATTTTAGACAAGTGCTTCTGAGGGCATCTAGGGGGAAGAGTTTCCTTATATACAGAGGAAGGTCCACTAGAATAACGTCAGACCTGTCCACAGAAACCCAGCAAGCCAGAAAGGGCTGGCAAGATATATTCAGGGCACTAAATGAGAAGAACATGCAGCCAAGAATACTTTAGCCAGCAAGGTTGACAATCAAAATGGATGGAGAGATAAAAATCTTCCAAGACCTGCAAGGTTTAAAAGAGTATGTGACCACCAAGCTGGCACTACAAGAAATATTAAGGGGTGTTCCATAAAAGAAGAAGGAACCCAAGAGTGACAGAGAACAGAAATTTAGAGACAATGTACAGAAACAAGGACTTCACAGGCAACATGATGTCAATAAAAACTTATCTTTCAATAATTACTCCCAATGTGAACGGCCTAAATGCTCCCATAAAATGGCACAGGGTTGCAGATTGGATAAAACAACAGGTCCCATCCATATGCTGTCTACAAGAGACCCATTTGGAACCTAAAGATACAACCAGACTGAAAGTGAAGGGATGGAAAACCATCTTTCATGCCAACGGGCCTCAAAAGAAATCTGGGGTAGCAATTCTCATATCAGATAAATTACATATTTTTATAAAGATTTTATTTATTTATCAGAGAGAGAGAGAGAGAGAGAGATCACAAGTAGGCAGAGAGGCAGGCAGAGAGAGGAGAGAAGCAGACTCCCCACTGAGCAGAGTGCCCAATGTGGAGCTCGAGCCCACAACCCTGAGATTAGGACCTGAGCAGAAAGCAGAGGCTTAACCCACTGAGCCACCTAGGCACCCCAGATAATTAGATTTTAAACTAAAGTCTTCAGGCAGAGATATAGAAGTACATTACATCATTCTTAAAGGGTTTATCCCCAAAGAAGATCTAACAATTTTAAATATTTATGGAAGCAGCCAACTACATGAGCCAACTGTTAATCAAAATAAACAGCCATATTGATATGAATACATTAATAGTAGGGGATCTTAACACACCACTCTCAGTAATAGACATATCATCCAAGCAGAAAATCAATAAAGAAATAAAAGCTTTTAATGACACATTGGACCAGATGGACCTCATAGATACATACAGAACATTCGATCCTAAAACAGCAGAATACTCATTCTTCTTGAGCACACAGGGAGCTTTCTCCAGAATAGACCACATACTGGGTCACAAATCAGGCTCAACCAATACCAAAATATTGAGATTATTCCCTGCATATTCTCAGACCACAATGCTTTGAAACTGGAACTTAATCACAAGAAAAAGTTTGTAAGGAATTCAAACACTTAGAAGCTAAAGACCACCCTGCTTAAGAATGTTTGGATCAACCAGGAACTCAAGGAAGAACTGAAACAATTCATGGAAACCAATAAGAATGAAGACACTTCGGTCCAAAACTTATGGGATACAGCAAAGGAGGTACTAAGGGAGAAATACATAGCCATCCAAGCCTCCCTCAAAAAAATTGAAAAAGCCAGAATACACCAGCTGTCTCTATACGTTAAAGAACTGGAGAATCAACAACAAATTAAGCCAACCCCACACACAAGAGGGAAACAATCAGGATTAGAGCAGAGATCAATGAGATAGAAACTAGAGACACAGTAGAACACATCAATGAAACCAGAAGCTGGTTTTTTAAAAGAATCAATAAAATTGATAAACCACTGGCCAAACTAATCCAAAAGAAAGGAGAGAGGACCCAAATTAATAAAATTATGAATGAAAGGGGAGAGATCATGACTAACACCAAGGAAATAGAAACAATCATCAGAAATTATTACCAACAGTTACATGTCAATAAATTAAGCAATCTAGAAGAAATGGATGTATTCCTGGAAACCTATAAACTTCCAAAACTGAATCAGGAAGAAACTAACAACCTGAATAGACCAATATTGAGTAACAAGGTTGAAGCAGTGATCAAAAACCTCACAAAAAACAAGGCCCAGGACCTGATGGATTCCCTGGAGAATTCTACCAAACATTCAAAGAAGAAATAATACGTATTCTCCTGAAGCTGTTTCAAAAAATTGAAAAAGAAGGAAAACTTCCAGACTCTTTCTACGAAGCCATCATTACCCTGACCCCCAAACCAGACAAAGACCCCATCAAAAAGGAGAATTTCAGACCAATATCCCTGGTGAATATGGATGCCAAGATTCTCAACAAGATCCTAGCTAACAGGATCCAACAACACAATAAAAAGATTATCCACCATGTACAGGTGGGATTTATTCCTGTGTTGCAAGGGTGGTTCAACATTTGAATATCAATCAAAGTAACAGAACAAATCAATAAAAGAGAGAAGAACGTTCATATGGTCCTCTCAATTGATACAGAAAAAGCATTTGACAAGATAAAGCATCTGTTCCTGATTAAAATGCTTCAAAGTATAGGGATAGAGGAAACATTCCTCAAATTCATAAAATCTATC